TTTTGAAGCCTTTGGCACATGTAGAAGATGAATAAAAATTGTCGATATGAGTTTATTATATCCTTTTCCAAAATGCATAAAAGGGTTTTCATATCACAGCTATGAAACTTGAATTAATCTTGACCTTTGTAAACGTAAGTTATCAAAGGTTGAATACATTTGTGCATGCATACTTAAATCCGCCTTATGTGAAACTTAATCGCACAATCGTATGAACAGACAGACAGACGAACGCCGCTCTGTCTGGAATTTAAAGACAGTGTAATTTTATCTTTATCGAACACTTCTGTTCTGGCAGACTACATAACTGGCCTAGGGCTAGAAATATAAATGTGAAAAACAGAAATTAAAAAAAAAGAAATCATAAATCAAACTAAAAAACATACTGCTGAAAGTATATTAACTGAAAACCTAAGTCATTTTTGAACCATTTTCTGGTTTGAAGGTCGGTCATGCATAAAACATAAAATGACACCGACTGATTTTGAGATCCATAGGTCAAAGATTATGGTCTCAGCAGCCTTGACCACTTATTGATTGCCAACAAGTACCTAGAGAACAGTTTTGCCAAGAGTCCTGTGTTGGTTTGAAGCTTGCCTATGACTTTAGTGTATGATCCCTTTGGCTAACAGGTGAATGTTGTTCACGCCTAGTATGTATCCCCTATTGATACTGAGGTCAAAAGGTGTGGGGTCAAAGTCATAATGACACTCTGGGTAAATTATTTATCCTTTCAATAACTTCCGAATGAATCAGGCTATTTTTCAATTAAGAAGGGGCACTGTCAATGGCTTGTGGATGTCCAAAATTATAGTATGGTGAAGGATTTTTTCTTTGTTCTTACAAACTCATTATCTTCAGAACACTTTCAATGAGGATTTGAAAACTGTATGGATAGATAACAATGCTGGTTTTAAATCTATTCAAATGCGAAATAATGCATCTGGTATATAATAGCTGAGATATTTTTGCACCTGTTACATATCAATGTATGTTTTAACAGAGGTTGGAATGGGGCGTGGGTATCACACTTTCCCAGTAGCATAGATTAATTAGATGTCATTTTTTTCTAGGATTTACATTTGCAACAAAAGGGAAAGGGCACAAGAGAGGAGAGAAAAAAAACTGAACATAGTGTTTTTTGCTGATTTCTGATACAAAACGATTATGAAATTGCAATTAAAAAAATCAATATAATATATGAAACTCGTTAGTTACGTGGCTATAAATGCCCCCAGCTCAGAATCTTATGAGTAACAATATTTAAAAAAATGTTTACCCATTCACTAAGTTAAAGACGGAAAATAGTCAAAAAATGAAAACACAGTTATATAACTTGACCGAGTCATGACGTTTTGTTATTGTGAAAATTTGAAGTTGGTAAGTCATTGCTATGACTTGTGATGAAGTTGAAAATTTAAAATATTTATTTTTACCATATATATGCATTTAAGTACAAGACTTTAACTTGAACCTAGCTACCCCAAACTCCATGCGAACTTAAATCTTAGGTATGTTCCTTATTGGTAAAAATATCAAAGGCTGTATAAAAAAGTGTAAAAATCTATTTTTAGAACTTGTGTCCTTGATCCAGCTAACCCCTAATCCAATCCAAGGATGCAAGTAATCAACCTTTGAAATATGAAAAAAACATCAGTAAAAAAATAATGGCTGTATAAGCAAATGTGTAGAAATATATTTTTGGCATCCTTGACCAACTGACCCCTTACTTCAATCAAAAAGAAGAATATCACGTAAGTCAATAAATAAAGGCTGTATGGGCAAAAATATAAGAGCTGTTTTAAGCACTGGTGAATTTGACCCAACTGACTCCTAACAACATCCTAAGGAAGAATACAATGTAAGTTATCTTCCTAACAAATATAAAACACGTCTGCCAATAAACGGCTATATATCGAAAAGTTTAAAAGATCTATTTTTAACACCTTGGCCCACTGATCCCTAACTCATTTAGAAGAAAGAATACCATGCAAGTTATCTTCCTACCAAAAATGAAAATCATCTGTCAATAAATATGGGTTGTTTGAGCAATAGGGTAAAAATCTATTTTTAGCAGATTTCAGCTCTATTTTCACATTGACCCAACTGACCCCTAACTCCATTCGAAGATTTCTTATTAACAAGCCTACAAAATATAAAAGACATATGTCAATAAAATAAGGTTAATACACATGTAAAAGCAAATAATCATTTTTTGTCATTGGTGATCTTGACCTTGACCCAAAAGACCCCTTACTTAACCAAAAGTAAGAGGACATCCCTTGGGAAATTTGTTTTAAACATGAAGGCCATCAACCACAAAATAAAGGCTGTAAGAGCGAAATGTTTAAAAAAAAATTTACCAGTGACATTGACCTTAACCCTAGGAATCCCTTACTCCATAGAAAATAAGAGGACCATTTAAGGTTCACATACCAAACACCTACAACATATGAACGATATCATTTGATAAATGAAGCAATTAGGAAAAATTTAAGATAAATCCAGCTTGTCGAATAAGTTAACCATTCATGACCCTATTTTGAAAGGAGATGAAAATAAAAATAATTGGGAAAAATGGATGGCACAGTTTTATTACTTGGCAATATCATGTACTTTGTATAAATAAGTAAGTGTGGTAATTATGAAGCTATAAGTATAGATTGAACTTAAGATATATCCAACTTGCAATTAAGGTTGACGCATTATTCATTTTCTTAGTGCTGAAAAGGGCAATAATTTGGTAAAAATGAAAACCATTGTTATGTTACTTGCCCACATCATGTACTTTGGGTTGATAATAAGTGTGTAACGTATGCAATAGGGATGTATAGGTAGTACTTAAAAAATCGAACTCGCAACTTTAGGATAACCTCGCAGGGGCAGACGGACGGATGGACGGTTAAATTATTATATGTCGGGGGCATAGAAATAAGGCTTTGGTGACATTTCTAGTTTAAAGCTGCATTATACTTTTCACTCTACGTCAAAACAGAAATGAATCTTGACATTATGCAAGAAGAAAGTGATAAGCTTAAACTATTATAAACAAGCAATTTCCAATAAAAATCCCTCATTAGAATCATAGAATCATACCAACTAATACATTTCTTTTCAAATGCAAATTGTCTGAAACCAATTTGTGTGACTTTTGTCATAAAGGCATTGAAAATATTAACCATCTTTCCTGGGAATATGAAGAAAAAAACACATTTTTTTCAGAGCTACACACGTGGCTAAACTTAATTGGAATTATATTGAATCTTTCGAAAGAAGTATCATTCTTTGGAGAACTTAAGTTTATCTGCAAAGTGACATAATTAATTTCATTTTCAATCTAATAAAATATTGTATTTTTATATAAAAAAAATAAAAAAATATAAAACAAATAACACCAACATTTGAAATACTACGGAAAATGTTATACAGTTGAATACAAATAGAAGGACAAACTGCATTTACCAAAGATAAATTGAAAGCTCATAGGACAAAATGAAATATCCTCTGTAACATAAGAATTGTTAAGTAAATAAAGAGTAAAATGATGTTAAACTTAAAATGTGTGCATAGGACACGGGTGCCCCCCACAATACACTGTTTTGTCAATCTACTGACTCTGGGTCTTTTGCGCTTCACCTTGCACAAGTTGAAAACTGAAACTTTTTTTTTAGTCAATGCCAAAATCTGTACAAAGCAAACTCCAAGGTGCATAGCTTCACATGTTGACCAACGTTGTTGTAAACTTTTAGGACAACAGGTCAACAAATACCTTTTGAGGTATGCATGAACAAGTCTATAATTTATACTAAGTCAAGGGAAATAACTCTAACAAAACTGAAAAAAACACATGCAAGACCCCACGTGCACAGCTTCACAGTGATGTTGATCATCACTAAGTTGGTTGAATATAACTCAAGCACTCAAAGTACACACCACACAACATTTTGGGATTTTTCTTACTAACCAAAATACCTTTTGGCACAATTTAAAAATTGCTATTTTTTACTCATTGAAAGTCAATAACACTAAAAGTCCCGATTAAACCCTAAAGCGAAACTCCTGGTGCACAAATACACATGCTGATCAACATTCTTTCTGTACAGTTTCAAGACGGTATGTAAAATAGTTTTTGAGCTTGCGACACAAGTTGAAAATTGTAAATTTTTACTAAGTCAAGGGCCAAAACTCTGACAAAAGAGAATAAAGCCACAAACGAAACTCGAGGTGCACAACTTCACATGCTGAGCAACATTCCTGTAAAGCTTCATGATCCTAGCTCAAATACTTTTTGTACGACACAAGTTGAAAATTTCAAATTTTTATTAAATCAATCAAATACTGAATAAATCCATATGCAAATACCCAGGTGAACAACTATACAAGCTGATCAACATTCCTGTAAAGTTTCATGACTATAAATACTTTTTCAGCTACGTGCGACACAATTTGAAAGTTATATATTTTACCAAATCAAGGACCAAAACTCTGACAAAAATAGAATAAATCAGTAAGCAAAACGCACAGTGCACAACTTCACATTCTGAACAACATTCCTGTGAAGTTTCATAACCCTATGTCAAATACGTTTTGGGTTATATGCAACACAAGTTGAAAATTGAAAATTTCTGTAAGTCAAGGGCAATAACTCTACAAATACTGAACAAATCTATACGCCAAAACCCAAATTCACAACTGCACATGCAGATCAACATTTCTGTAAAGTTTCATTACTATAATTCAAATACTTTTTGAGCTACATGCGACACAAAGGCAAACGAACGGACGGAAGGACGGACAAAGTTAAATCTAAATGCCCCCATAGATCAAAAACATACATATAAAGAAAACTAATATTATTGTGTTAATCACTATACATAATAGGGACAAAATTAGCAAAAGAGGGCGTGCGAATGTGTGTGTGCGTGTACGTGTGTGCGCGTGTGCGTTTGTGCGTGTGTGTGTTCCTGCGTGGCTTTACAATAAAAAATCACCAACGTCTTTTAGATGCAATTTTTCTCGTACAATACTATATCATAAATGCCGTCGTATACAACGTCTTCGGGAATTGCTGCCTCTACCATTTGTTTTGTAAACGAGCTTCTTCTGCAGTAATCGATATCTCTCCTGTATTCAAAGGACAGACAATCTTCATCTTCAGAACACAAGCTATAGCATTCATCAATAGAGGCAACTGTGCCTTCTCCACGGTCATTGCGGCTCACAATGTGTACCATATCTGAGATGGAGAAAGTGCTGTGTATGGCGCTGCAAACTGAAGATTAAACACGTTATTGTTAGAGTTAAACATTGCATAAGAGAAATACATTGATAAAGAAAACTTCTTTTTAAAAATGTTTTTCAGTACAAACTTTTTATAGATTTCGAAGGTATTGCCTTTCAAGAACACCTTTTTGTCATGATTATAACTAAATCTTGACTCAAAAATAAAGTTCACGTACGTTTCTTATAATTTTCAATGTTTTATGTTAAGAATGCGTCAATTACTGATGTTGACTTAGGCATGTTACCTATCTTAGCAACATCGCAAACGCAATGCAAGCATGTTTGACTTAGATTTAAACAACAACGTTTAACCTGGGGGGGGGTCCACTGAATGCATCAAATTAAAATGCAAATGTCTGATGCAATACCTTTGATACAATCCCTGGAATCAGCGTCGTATCTATATAAGCGGCTACAATAACATCGTCCTCCTTTGCACAGTCCACCGGTCTCTTTACAATCTGAGTTAACTGAACACGCCTTTCCAATTGTCGGTTCTACAAAGTAAAAAATATTTAATTAAATTTTAATACTACCAATGAGTTTAGTTTGATTTTATTTTGTTGTCAAAGTATAATTCTTCTTGACTTTTTGATATTATATGAGATAAACTTGTGACATCGACACACTCGTCATACTCTATATACTACCCCCATTTATACAACCATTGTACATCTTATCTTGCTCTGTGAATAACGGATTAATTATGATTTCACATGTCACTGTTGTGAATGAATGTTTCACTTGTCAGTCGCTGCTAGAATGCTGAACAAAAATATTGGCCCGACGTGTGCGTGAGTTAAGTTCTTTTAGCTAGGTCATCGTAATGATATACAAAAATATCGCTCCCAATTTCAAGCTGAATGAACTTCAGAACTAGTATAGTGAAACTATTGCAAACTTTTGGTTGATTAGTTTAAGTTAAATGATGTTTCAAATGTATTTTATAGAACTTTAACAAACAATACTTAATCAACGCTGAACAATTAACTTTAATATCACTTATTATATCTGTTTTGATAACTTTAATATAACCAGTAATATCTTTTTGAAAGCTTTGATATCACCAATAATATCTGTTTTGATACTTTAAATAACCAAATATATATGTTTTGATTACTTTAAATTCACTAATCCTATCTGTTTTGATAACTTTAATATCACAAAAAATATATGATTTGATAACTTTAAAATCACTAATAATACCTGTTTTAATAAATTAAATATCACCAAAAACATATGTTTTGATAACTTTAATGTTAACAATAATATCTGTTATGATAACTTAAGCATTAAAAATAATAACTAATATAGAAAGTATGATATCATTGCTCAGAATAAAAACACAATTATATTGTTTTCAAGTGCATAATAAATGTTCAATGGCTTGACAAACCTTGGCAAGTCGCCTTTGATTTTGTCCATTCACCATTCACTTTGCATGTTATATCCTTGTCACCACCGAGAAACATATTATCTGGACAAGCAAACACGTACGAACGGACAGTGCCAGCAATGACTGAAGCATGTTCCTCAACTCTTTGATGTGGATTTTGTGGAATTTTGCACGCTAAAAATCAATGAATAATAATTTTATTAAAGATCATGTAATAAAAAACTTCATATAAAGTTTAGGTCAAATTTTTCAATAAGAAATGAATGCATATAATTCAATGCTTACATTTGATATCTATATTTCTTCATGTCGTTTTGTCTTCTTACTTCTATAACGTATGTCATTTGTCATTTTACATCTGTAATACTATTAAGAAGATTGCACAGATTTTTCGTATTACACATGTGTAGAATTTTTTTCATTCGACGGGCATGACTGAAAGGGTAAAGTTGTTTCCTAGTTCGCTTAATCGAACCATATGTAATACATTTAATTATTTTTAGTTACTTAATTATTTACGTGGCATACGGACAAAAATTAAGCCCGGGCTGTAATATGTAGAAACATTAATTTTTTGTGTTATTGTACCACGGATGAGAATATCCCGCCATCTATATTCTGAGAACAGCTTAGCACTTGCTGCTGGTACAGGTTTTTTTATCCATGAAAATGGTTTTGTTTCCTGTGCGGCTTTGGTGTTCTATGACGATTTTCATGTGGTACTTTTACATCAGAAATAGGTGATATAAAACTCATATACATTTAAAATGTATTCAGTGTTATCATAACATTATTTCATCATAGATATGTTATAATATGTTTACATTGTTGGTCCATATGCTGAAAGTTGTTCATTTGTATATATGTATAAGGATTTTGATATTAAATCAATAACGCACCGCATTCTTTTAACGTCAAACGTCTTGTTGTTCTTTTACCAACTACTTAATTAAGAAATGCTTTATTTTCGGACGAGCGTAGCGAGGGAGAAAATAAGTACACATATTTGCAGTATATAATCTACAAATTCTTGATGTTTGAAAATTGTTTTATTAGCATAATTAAATACATATATATTATTTCACTTAAGTGTGGTATGCAAGTCACTCACTCACTCACTCACTCACTCACTCACTCACTCACTCACTCACTCACTCACTCACTCACTCACTCACTCACTCACTCACTCACTCACTCACTCACTCACTCACTCACTCACTCACTCACTCACTCACTCACTCACTCACTCACTCACTCACTCACTCACTCACTCACTCACTCACTCACTCACTCACTCACTCACTCACTCACTCACTCACTCACTCACTCACTCACTCACTCACCAACTCACTCACTCACTCACCAACTCACTCACTCACACACTCACTTACTCACTCACTCACTCACTCACTCACTCATTGTAACGTAATTTCCTTACTGATATTTTCGCATTTATATGAGTCAGAGTCAAGAGGGAGGCAACCCTGAGCTTTGTCGCATTGATGGTTGGCACACCCTCCAACAATAGCCTGAAAAAAATTCCAACATCAATAAAATTATGAAATAAAAATATACAAAATAAGCGTTACAACAATAATTTTGGGGGAGCACAAAAACATATTTTATGGTCGTTTTTATTGCCCTGTAAATTTAAATACTTTATAATCATTTAAATAGTTATCCCTTCGGTTCTGTCGTATTTTACGAAAAATTATGGGGGAGTCCAAAAGTTTTAAAAGTCCCCTCTTAAAAATGGGTTTGTTTTTCCGAATCCAGTCGGTTAATGGCTACGAATATTAAGGTTCGGGGTTCGTTTTCTTTTTTTCCCATTTTTAAAACCTTTTTTTCTTAAATTTTAGGAAAATTTTAATAAAAAGGAAGCATTGAAAATTTGTGTCACGGATATGACAAATTTAAAAAACATAAATTTTCTCGTTTTGTATTGTTTTGTTTTTTTTTTTCCAAATAATTTTTAAATTTTAATTTTTAAAACAATATTAAAAAGAAATTTTTAAAAAAAAAAAATGAGAAAGAAAACCCCATCCCTTTAATAATGTTGAAAGGGTTTCCCGATTTACAACCTAAAATTTTAAAAATTTAAACGGTAGTGTTCCTTTGTGAAAGGGAATTTTCCCCGGGTATATCCCTCGTGGAAAAGTGAAATAAGCAGGAAATTTTACAAAAGTAAGCAGAAACGTAAAATCTGTGGCCCAAAACGGACCAAAAAAATAAATGAACAAAAATTTTTTATTGAATAATTTTAAAGAAAAAACGGCGCTGAATTTTATGAAAACCGACGTTGCCCTTTAGTCGCTGGAGGGCCGAACCCCTTTAAAATATTTTTCAAAAGAAAAATTTTTTAGAGTTTAAATTAATGTTAGCACCGTATTTTTTTTTATTTAAAGTAAATGAAAAATATCTGTTCTTACTTTCTGGTGCTATTTTTGGCCCAATTGCCGATTCTGGGTTTCTTTTTCACAAAACCGGTTTTTTCAACATTCCCCGCTCCGAAAAGTTGCGTACAAAATTATTCAAGTTTTTATTCATTCAGGGGTTTTAAAATTAAAAATAAAATAATGTATTTTAAACGAGAATATACCAAAAAAACAAAAACCCAAAAATTTTTTGTTTTAATAGTTTTACGATATTATCAAAACATTTTTTAAATTTTGAAAATCCAATTCAGCCCTAATATAAAAATAATTCTATTTAAAAATTTTTTATATGTTTGGACCAAAGAGATTTCGCTTTTTTGTATTAATAAAAAATAAAAAAAATGGTTTTACTTATAAATTTCAACGAAACACAAAAGTGACCTTCAAGACGGTAGTCAGGTCGTCGTTCTCACGAATGGGCTAAAAAGGTAAACATATTCTTAGAAAAACATAATTCTGGTTAAAGTATAATATCGTAGCAGCCGTATGCGCTGATTCGTATCTTTAAACTAAAATTAGGATAACATATTTTGGCCGGTTTACTCACCATGTTACTCGATTTTGCATTTTCTTTGTACAGATTCGTCGTTACTTTCATTATATTGTCAAATTCCTGCGATACTAGATATACACGTTGTATTTCATAGAAACAAACATAATTTAATTTCACCGTATTGCGTACATGTCACAGAATTTACAGAACATTTATCGAAGATTAATATATTCTGTGCATCGGCCTTATAATCTGTCTGGAATTGCCAGGTTAATAAAATCAAACAATATTTTGTATTTAGATCAAACATTATTAAGATCATAAAGTATTTACTACTTTCCTTTAAATGGATGAATAAAAATACCGTTTTCATTATATAATCAATAAAATGCATTTGCTCGGTTTGGTACACACGAATCATAGTCTCAAATTAAATAAATAATTCACTATTATTATAATTGTGATTGTCCATGGTGTTATAATGAACAGCGTCGTGCAACAGACTGTAAAAATATCGTTTATATTAATGATTTTTCAACTTCGTATTGATTTGAACTTTTTCAAAAAGACTCTTGGTTTTCATTTTTTAAACAACACATACCTTTGGCCATTCGGAAATATCGGAGAAAATTATTCCTTTTGTTTTGTTGAAGGCTGATGTTCCAACTGTCTCACTGCTTTCTGAGTTAAATTCGCATGTTTTGGTACTTGTTATGAAATTGATAGACTCACAAGCTCCCAGAAACATACATTCTTGAGCACATTCGTGATGTGACATGACAGTCTTGTCAAAAAGCTTATAACCAAATAATTGCTTATTCAGGTGTTCGGGCTTTACTTGAAAAGGCTTGCATGGTTGTAAATAAGTAATTCTCGAGAATAAAAGAGAGAAAGTCCATAAAAGAAGTGGTGTAATCAAACTCATGATTTAAACAATGGTTTGTCTCTTATGGCAATCTGAAATGAATAATACAATCAAACATATATCATAATTATAAACAGGTTAATATATTCATGAGTTGATTTTAAGTTTTTTGGGACTGGCAAAAGAGAAAATGCTGATTTATCTTTACTATTTCGAATACATGTAGATCTATTTATCAAAGTTATACTTGAAAAACACCTTTAATCCGGTTAATTCGTATACAACTTAAAAATTCTTAACGAAAGAAATTGTTAAATAAAAACTTTTTTAAGCCCATTCTCATACCATATACAGAAAAATTTCCGCGATAGCGAAATCATTACGTTTTTTAATCATTATAGAGGGTAGCAGTGTGCTTTTTAATTGATTGTAGTTAATAGACGCTGTTACATTCTTTTAACAATTGTTTTGAATGACCAGGCAATGGACGAAATATTTGGAAAACGAGACATGTTTGTAAATCATGTATACCCCCTATCTGCAGCCATTTAACCATCTGGTCAGGTCATTGTGACTGACTTTTGACCTAGTGACCAAATATTAATAGGGGTTATCTACTGGTCATGACTTGCCAAGACCAATGCACCTACAAAGTTTGAGGGCCAAAAGCCCATAACTTATCAAGTTATTGATCGGAAACCATTTTTACCTAAAATGTCAAAAATCAAAAGTGGCCATCTACTGGCCAAGTCTAATGCACTTACGAAGTTTGAAGGACCCAATAATGGGTTGTCCAGTTATTGATCGGAAACCGTTTTACCTACAAGGTCAATGTGACCTTGACTTTTGACGTGACCCAAAAATCAATAGGAGCCATCTACTGGTCATATACAATGATCACACCAAGTTTGAAGTTCCTATGCCTAAGCGATCTTTAGTTTTTGATTCGAAACCCTTTTTACCTTCAAGGCCAATGTGACCTTGATCTATTACCCCTTGACCCTTAAATCAAACTAGGTCATCTACTGGTCATGTACAATCATCATACCAAGTTTGAAGTTCCTAGGCCAAGGGTTATTAAGTAATTGATCGGAAACCGTTTTAAACTACAATGACAATGTGACCTTGACCTTTCACCCCTTGACCCTTAAATCAATAGTGGTCATCTACTGGTCATGTACAATCATCATACCAAATTTGAAGTTCCAAGGACTAACCGTTCATAGTTATTGGAGAACGTTTTACCAACAAGGTCAATGTGACCTTGATCTTTGACCTCATGACCCCAAAATCCATAGGGGTCATCAACTGGCCGTGAACAATCTTCAAACCAAGTTTGAATTTCCTAGGCTCAAAAGTTCTTAGGTTATTGATCTTGAACCGTTTTTACCTACAAGGTCAATGTGACCTTGACCTTTGACCCCTTGATGCCAACATCAATAAGGGTCATATACCGCTCATGTACAGTCATCTTATCAAGTTTAAAGTTCCTAGGCCTAAGCGTTCTTTAGTTGTTGATCGGCAACCATTTGGTCTTTGGACCGACGGGCCGACCGACAGACAGACAAATGCAAAGCAATATATACCCCCACTTCTTTGAAGGGGCCATAATAAGCAGATTTATCTTCTTTAAGAAATAATTCACTTTTAATTTTTAACAGGTGCATATGTGTATATGTCTCGAGGCTCATCCATGTGAAACGGTAAAACATTATCTCAGATAAATCTTGTTTTCATAAGTTCATGCTTGGTAAGGCTGCGCATTTCAAGTTTAAAATTTGAAGTGGTATGAACATCGCTTATTAAAATCCCACCTTCCCTTCCGATTGTTCATTTGATTTCCTCCGTCTGATTATAATAAACTTTTTTGGTTTATACAGAATTTATTTAAGTTCGATTGTGTAGGAAGCTATAAGCTTATAGACACACTTTCGAATCAGTTCCTGGAACCAACCAGTACTGAGCAATGAGTGTAAAGTTTCTTGCTCAAGGAAACAACGACTTGCCCCTGACGGGGTTTGAACCCATACATAATAAACTTTGTTATGAAAATTAAAACAATTTAATAGTAGCATTAAACAAACAGTTGTAATTTGGAACGTTATTCAAGGCTTAAAAATTAATTTATTTAAATAATTATCACTATTAGCAATTATTATTTGAACTCAATGGTTAAAATGGTACCTTTTTATATACTTTAATGGTTATATAAATTTGCAAGGATCTGACCCGACATTTTGTGGTATGACATTGACAAACGGGTTCGGGTTTCCAATTTTTCCAAGTGTTTTTTTTTCCTGACCACAATTTGCAAGTTTCATGGCATAGGAAATCTGAAATGTTTTTATCTTAATGTTTTCACGTATCTCACTTTACTGGAATATATCTTTCATAATGCCAATACGTTTGTATAATTTAAATATTAGTGTTATATCCTGTCGTGACTTTATACAGTATTACAGTAACTTCACAAAGTTACATTATGTTCAAGATATGTCATTATCATTACGAATATCTCATTGTTAAGAGATTAAATTGGAGCAATTTTGCCCCATTTCTCTTTAGCTTTGTTATTGTTTTACTCTTGTACAATGCTACACCATTTTTCATTCTTGATGGTTGGCCTCGTAGCGGCAAGCCCAAGCAGAGTTTAGCATTTTCAGAGCTTATTATCATAGTTTACAGCACTTTGCGTTGCTATGTAGCTATCTTTGCGTTTAGCTGGGAGCTGTCTTTTATATTTTTCTCATTATTATGTTTATGTCAGTTAATATTTTTTGACGATGAGGTTTGTTTTAATCAACATGCACAATAAAGTCACGGCTTTATTCTAACCAATTAGTGTTCTGTTATTTTATTCACAATTGACTATTTTTTTTAAATTCTTCTGGGAAATATAACCATTTGTATTAGAAGTATTGTGCAGTTCCAGACGGTGCTATGTTTGCTATTGTGTCATCTTAGATCCAATATCTTTCAACAAAAGATATTTCAGCAATATCTAAGTTCAGTCTGCTTTTGAACCTTGTCGCTAGAAAACTACATAGCAGGAATACCCGTTAATATATTAAGGACATAATGACTCCCCAGCCAGGAATGAATGTGAGTTGTAAACGATTTGCACACAAACTTTATATTTACTGCTTGTTAGTTTCGATAAGTCTGTCCTGTTTGATATATATAGAGGTTATATTCAGGTTGACCAACATAGACGATATGTAGATCTATCTATCTAAACAACAAAAAACTTGAGCAAAATCCATATGGGGGATAGGTCACAAGTGGTCATTGATGTTAGAACATTACCATCTAACATTGCTTTATATATGGCTGTCCCGAAACAAAGCTGTAAATAGGAGTACCCATAAAGTAATTAGATTGCTGTAAATAGACCAATTCAAACAAACCTGGCATGACCTATTGCAGCTTTCATACAAAGATCTGTTATACAATAGCTTTAAACGCTATGTTGAATATGAAAAAATACTTTAATATGCTGACTAGAACAGACAATTTAATTTTTAAAAAAATCCCAACAAATAACCATCGACTACTAGTCAAAACATGACGTTACGATGGAACACGGTATGAAGATCGCACGAGCCCCCTCTGTAAACTATAATTCTGTTGGTAACGACCACCATTATCTGTTGAATAGGATTGCAGTTTTTCAAATGAATCGTAACATATTTACTTTGGTAACTTGGCAAAATGTTAATCAGTCTAGTAAATCGACTGTTTATAAAAATAATTTAAAACACTAAACTGGTAAAAAATCATAAAAAAATATTGTACGATTTCACATAATTTAATTGGTCGCACGGCTGAGTAAATACGTACTAATAAACTTTAACCTATACTAAATTCCAAATATAAAAAATCCCATGCCGCATGTTTCGCAAATTACTATTTCTCACCTTAGCATGGTAGAATCCATATGTACACAATTTTAACAGATAACACACTCTTAAGCTGTTACCTGGCTTTCTATTTTTTGAACTGTGAGCACATTTTCCCCGTTTTTGCGCGCTATATTTTTCATTTAACCAAACTACGCAAATCACCAATGTTCCGCAAGAGAAAATAAATGTAATGAATCATTCATCTTTTCAAATACATATGGTGGCTGATTTGTGCCATCCGTGTTTTCTCTCCGCGACCCCGACAAGCGAAAAAGTCGAGAATTAAAAAGTTAAAACGGCGGGGCCGCGGGACGAAACGCGCTAATTAGCGAGGGCGCGGGGTGAAGTTAAATAAATAAAACTTCGCGCTGCAGGGGCGCGAGACGAGATTTTGAAATAAAACGGCGGGGACGCAGAGCGGAAACACGCTAATTAGCGCCTCCGCTAATTAGCGTGTTTTCGCCCCGCGCCTTCGCCATTTTAACTTGTTAATTTTCGACTTTTCGCTTTGCGGGGTCGCGTGGCGAAAACACGAATGGCACAAATCAGCCACCATGAATACCAGAATAAGCAGTTCAAATTATATCAGCTCTTCACAATACCAACAACTTTTAATACCATACAAGTGTAATTAGAATGATTATATATACCTGAATGATAATGAAAAAAGTAATAGAGAAAAAAATGTGTAACGTTTTTCGCAGATCTCTACCGGAAACATACATTATTATGTGTTTTAATGTTGTATATTATAATACCTTGCGTGGAAGAAAAGTCTTTGTATGTCTGTCTGTCTGTCTGTCTTTGTGACTGCATTTGACGGCCCATGAAAATACATTTCTTGATACTAGCGACACTGGTTTAAGGTAGTACACCCCTAATGGGCACTATAAGGAATTGTAAATTTGACAACATAGGACAGTTATATGCCTTAAATGTCACCTGTATGCAAAATTTAAACAAAATTTACCGGATGGTTTATGAGTTATGGACATTTTTATGAACTAAAACTTTGCCATTAGAAGGGATTTTTTCAGAAATGAGGAAACTCTAAATAATCTATAATATCATCATTATGAAAAATGTTTTCCTTTTGCTCATTGTTAAGAAATAAATAATGACATTTAGGTAATAAATTAAACAAGCAAAATGATTGTTTGTAAACGTAATTTTTTTAATATGTATAAAAATGTAACCCTACCCCACCCACTTTTAACACTAATTTGACCATTTCCCTATGTAAAAAGCCTTATTTAAAATATCCCTTAAATTTTCCAAAATGAGGGGCTATTTTCAAAGTTTGCCTAAATTTTCTTTAATGTATATTGGTTGGTCTTGCAAAATATAAAATACCTACAATAATTATATAATTAAAATAAAACACTTTTTTCTTCCATAGGGGGTCTGAGAGATTAATAAAAAATGTTAAAAAGAAAAAAAAGAAAGAAAAAAAATTGCCCCTTCTGGGGTTTGAACCCACGCCCCCTCAGTTTCAATACACTTTACAGTGATTTTAGCCTATTTGAATACTCTTCAAAGTGGAGACAGTGCATTATGGGTGTACTACCTTAAAGGCCTATTAAGCCCCAGAAATGCTTTTATTATATTTCTGAAAAAAGCTTTTTATATTTTGTGTCCTTTGTAGGTTCCTAAAAGTTATTCGCCCATAACCTGTATCATATTTTGCTTCTGTTACTTTCTAGAAGTAGTACAGTTATAGTGAATTAGTATTTTGTATGGAAGTTAAAATTCTACTTTGTTTACATCTTGCTGATTTTACGACAAATGTTTTCACATTCAGCGCTACTATTTTTTGAGGTAATAAGACCCTAACATAAGCAAAAAACACTATTTAAAAATTATTGTCACATAAATTGCGGCGCAGGAATGTAATAAAGCCATTTAGTAAAATTTGATATTAAACAAGTCTAATGACACTTTGACGTGACGGAGATACAGGCAAAATTTTCATGTCTTAGTTTTGAGTTTTTCAGTCATTATTCTGTAAATGCACTCAAAATTAATATATTAGACAGTAAAAGGAACAAAACTGTTCTCCATATAAAGATTGAAATGGTGGTTTCCTAACTTGACCCGCGTGGGTCAGGTTAGAGCGATAGGATTTCACAATAGTTGTCAAAGTGAACTCTTGAAACGTTAAAGAACATGTCAAATGAATGACTTAGACTTGTTTCAATCATACAATATCCATAATATCTGTTATTGTTACTTCAAGGGTTTGTTCAAGTCAAGTGACTTGTTTTAAAGCTATTTGGTGATAAATTTTGTTCAATATATATATAGATATATTTACGCTTCAAACCCAAAATATTTAGAATTTAAACAGAAATTCAAACTTGAACTTCAAGAAATGTCATTTAAGCGTGATTTGAGTACATAAGATCATTTTAATACTTTTGTCATTATTTTGCCTGAATATCCCTTTATCATATCCCTATAATATAGCGTAGCATTACACTATAGGACGCGTCGTTGAAAAATAACTCTTTTTAACATTTTATGTCTGAAATATTATAGTCTATTTTTAATCACATTTCAATTATTGATTACTGTTTTATCAAATTTGATTTAGATTTCAGTTGTCTTATCTTGATTTAGATTTTTTAAATTTCAATTGTTTTTAACCTTTCTCTTTATTTTATTTTCGAGCCTTAAATTAATCTTCATGTACATATTTTTGTATGATCGATTGAGTTTTAGACTTTTAGTTTAAACATGGGGTATTTTATATTTTGTATATGTATACATATATGTGTGTTATATTATAATTACTTTTATTTATTTTTTTTAAAGTCATTGTAAATGTATATAATTCCATTGTAAAACGCCTTTGTACAGACTCAATCAAACCGAGTCTGCAATTCTCCTGTAGTTTTGTTGTGATTAATGCTTCCGAGGGATCACTTTGTTTCCAGATTTTTATACTTCCCAACAGCAGGTGTCAAGTGCTGTGTGGCAGCTGCAAAAGATGCCCCGTACTTCACTTCAGTGTTGTTATATTTTTCTGGTCCTTCGGGATCATTGATGCCAGCACTATTAAGTGTTGAGAATTGAGTACTGCTCAAGCCGGTGCTAGGGGGCGTGAGGGATGTTACACATATTCATTATCCCCTATGTACAGACTTAATCAAACCGAGTCTGCAGTTCTCCTGTAATTTTGTTGTGATTAATGCTTCCGAGGGATCACTTTGTTTACAGACTTTTTGAACATTTTATTTTTGAGGAGGGCGCTAGAAAAAAATGTGATAATTATTATTATAATAAATAGAAATTTCTGTTCAAAATACATTAATAAATAGGGAGATATCCAATGGCAATACACAGTAAAATCATAATGTTTAAATATTGGATTAAATTGCTTGAGTCACCTGGTAATTAAATTCTAAAAATTATGTATATGCTTAAAAAAGATGCAGATATTGAGTATCATTACAGGGAAAGAAACTGGGCTTATCAAATAAAAAATATACTGAACCAAATATAACGTCTGGCTACAACAAGATTAAATAATATTAATATATGTGTCATCAAATTACGAATTTTAGATACTTAATAACAAAATTGGTATTCAAATATCAATAATTCTAACAGACTCTCATCTTTTTGTCATTTTAAACACGAACTTCAGTGTGGTCATAAATAAAGATAGCCATAGGATTATTTTAACCAAATTTAGACTGCCAGCTCACAATCTTGAGATAGAAAAAGGAAGGCACGATATTATTCCAAGAGAAAATAGAAAATCTCGAAATTGTCCATTGAATTTTTTAGAAACAAAATATCATGTTTTATTAATATGCCTAAAATATTACGATTTACGAAAGTTTTTAAAACATATTTTTGTAGGTGGCCTACAATGCAGATATTCGAAACACTTATGACAACAACAATTATCAAAACAATTAATAAAGTGGCAAGTAATCTGTATTATGCATAACTTAAGATTTCCATAAATGCAGACTGGTTAAAGGGAGATAACTACGACAAGAAATGCTCAGTACATATAACAGTTATGTCATCTGCCGAACATGATAAAATTGGGTATTTCAATGTCATTGTTATGGACTTCAGGACGCAGCCAGGTTTCAGTAAAAATAAGGATATCATATGGCTGTGTTTCGAGTTCAAGCCTATCAAGTCTATTAGGTCTAAGACTCTGAATATTACACATAATACCTAGCCCACCATTTATAAGCTCAGAAATAGAAAATGCAAAAGATGAGTCTGTGCTAGAGTTGCTTTCAGCAGATGGACCAGGATTTGAGCAAATATCTCCAGCACAAAGTAGTACAATGAATAGCCATTAAGGAAGTATAAATACAGAGTAAAAAAGGTGATGATATTTAATATGTATTTGTCATTGCTTCCATGTTCTGTCTGTGACACTGTCATATTTGCATGAATAATCGATATCACGAGTTACTACGTGGTGCGCACGAGATAATTTAGTGATGCACACGAGATACTATGTCGTTACCACGAATAACTAAGTCGTGCGCACGAGATTATTAAGTCGTGCGTATGACCTAGTAACTCTTGGCTACGACATAGTATCTCGTGCACACCACTAATTTATCTCGTGCACACGACTAAATTACTCGTGCACACAACATAGTATCTTGTGGGCACGAGATAAATAAACACAGCAACATATCACCTCTGTACCACCTAAAATGTCTGTGGATATATGTGGTTTAATTTGTGTTTATCAATTAAGTATACCGAGCCGTATAGCGCAATAGGGTTAACTACGGGTTTATTATTTCTAAATATCCTCGTAGGTCCATGTTTTGTTTTATTTATATTTTTTAACATTATTTTCTTCATGCTGTGGGTTTTGTCTAAATATGGTTTGCACTTATTTTGGTTAAAATTTATATTATTTTCTTTAATGACATGGTCTCATGATAAGTTTTTAAATTTTCATTCGGATTAAATCAATAAATGTTATTTCAATGCTGTAATACACAATACAAATCTGTTTAAGTTGCTTCATGTACGTGTATACAATTTTGCAAGCACTTTTCCATTAAAAGTCATTTCCATTTAATATACATATCAATAAAGAAAGAGAAGTCTATATCAATGGAAACAGTAGGAATCGAAACCGCAAGCCTCTCATATAGGCAATCACTCAACCGAAATTCTCCAGTTCGCTATTCATTATACATATCGACATTTCTTTTTTCCTCGTACCAATCGGAATGATCGGCTATTATGACAGACGAAAACGCCCGAAAAGTTGCAATTGCCCTTTTTCATTCTATAATGGGCGTCGCGCTTCGGCGCGGACACCAAAAAAAATGTAGTTAACTTATATCTGAATATGAAGGAAGTTTAAAACTTTTACTACGGTTATTTTACTGTTATAAGAAAGATTCTATTACTGTTGGTGCGCAATAGTTTTATTGTTTGCGACATTCATGTAATATCAGTTTTTAAAAACTTAAATTATTGAGATTACATTTGCGACATTGACTGTGACTGTTTATATAAAATACAAATGTAATTACATAGTTCTTCTTTAGTATTGGTGCAATCATTACACTCATATTTGGAGATATTGCTTAATGATTTTATAATTGCTTAACATTCGACACAAAGTGTTACACGGAATGTTGGAAAACGCAGGTATATGAGATTTTATTTTTTAGTCATTCAAATGGACTGCCCTGATAAATTATTGACACGGTGCTGAGATAATCGCTGATCAAACGCCTAAAGCACTTCGTTGTGTGAATTGATATTAAACTTTGGGAATTATTCGGGAAGCTTTCATATCCTAACGTTTTTCAATACCTCTTAACAAAAATATATGTCATAGCGTTGAATTATTTGATAAATGCATTACGAACATAAATGATATATATATATATATATATATATATATATATATATAAATATATACTTACACTAACTAAACATACACTATCTATCTAAAGTACACTATCTACATGATTATATACACGAATCTACATTAGTATTAATCATACACTAACAACAATAATATAAAATATTCATAATAATTAAGTATATTTTGAATACCAAAATAAAGTAGATAGTTTATAATGTAATGGCAGCTTATTGTAAGTGTAGTCGGACCTCCTTATACTTTCGTTTTTTCTGTATTTACTTCTTCGATTAACCTCCTCTCTATCAATTATAAATCAATAACAAATCACTATCGAGTAATCGATATCCGCCATATTTTGAATATACATGTAAACAACCATTTGTGCTTAAAAACTATTATTATCCTTTTTTGTAGTTATTTTTTGTTATATCTACAAGTATATGTTTGCCTCTTATGTCGTATGTGTATCTGTGTATTGAATTTCCATTGTTCTGAATTTGTATTGTTAATTGTTTATATTTTCCGTGTCTTATCATTGTATATGTATGTCATTACAGGAGCGTATTTACCATGTCAATATAAACAGATTCCTTCGAACCAACCTAGTTCTTTTGTTCTCATTAACCATTCAGTAGGCCGACGACATGTACAAAACGACACTGTCAAATACTTGGTTGAAAGTACTGAGTGTAAGCCTTCTGTTTTGCATGTTGCACATGTAACCAGGACTAACTGACTCATATGCATGTTTCCCCCTTTCAATCAAGACTTATTTATGAACTTTTCCTAATTTGTTGTATGTTGTTGTACATATTTGAAGAGGCGGACGAGTCCATTTAAGAGTACTTATGGGTAGAAAGTTGTGTTCTGTCGGGTTCAAAGCAACAAAAAAAAGTAAGATAAATTTTGACACTTTATGGTATTTTAGGAAACAGGTACATCAGTTCCTAATTAATAGAAATTAAAATGAGGGAAAAACAACCATACCTATAGACTCAAGATATCATTTGAAATATTATATATATTTATTTATCAAAAATGGCCAAGAACCATTATTTAGAACATATCAATTTCAAAATGAAAACTGTACCATAACATGTTCTATGATGCACTATGTATCTATTAATCGTTTGATAAATAAAAACAGCTATACATTTCGCTGTACAAATTCTTAATACCCTTAAAATAGATTTTAAAATTTTGTGCATGCACACACTTTCTCAAGAATAAAGCTTTATTGCCAAATACGGCATATTTTGATGGAAGTAATCCAGTTAACTCAAAAAATTTACATATATAAACAATTGTTCAGTCAACCACTTTGATCCTGCATGACATTTTTAATTACTGTGTAAATGTTCATCACCTTTTACCCGTTTTACTGTGTGATAACTTATATAAATGTTTTATGAAGAAAAAAACTACTCTTGGTAGATAGTTAAAAGTCATTTCTGATAAAAACTACTTTAGCCACTCTGTCGAGGTTCTTTTCAGAACTTCTAATGTTAAGTTAAACCATTGTATTTATAATGCAAAACTCGTTATGAATGTTTTGAAATAATATATATGTAATTTTTGAAAAACAATGTTTAACTCTAGGCAATATTCAATATTTTTAACATATAAAATAAAATATTTCATGATAATTTACAGTTAATTTACAACATGAAAGTTTGATATATTACAACATTTTTAAAACATTACATGATAGACAATTTAAAGTATCAATGTGACATATAAATAGAAAAAAAACAGCTATATAATCATTGATTTCAATATAAACTGCAAATCTGGTACATACATGTCAAAGAACAAATAAGATATGAAAGGGATTAAAGTATCATCATGTATCGAAGACAGCAGTTCATCAACCTTTGATGATTGATATAAAATAAGTTATATGAAACAGTCAAACTTACATTGCAATTTAAATGTGTTCATTATATTTTAGAAAAATGTACATATTGATGATCATATTTACTTGCTTATTAAAAAGTATCTTTGTGGTATGGACCTTTTTCGGGGAAAGCAGTATCTCTAGGTCTATATTTATTATTTAACAAGAAATATGTTAAACAACAATGAATATTGTAATCATTATTGATAACACTTCACATGCTTCTCCTTCATTTGTGTAAAATACATAACCAAAAAGGAAGGTGTAGTGTCTCAATCAGATTTCCAGTCATTAACCAAAGTATGTTTTTTTGCATGGGCCTGACTTGGCATCATATCTTGTAACAGACTATTGTGTTTAGTTTTGGCACTCAAGTGTGACCTTGACATTGAAGGCAGGTGTCTATCTGTTGCATATGACACATGGTCCCATTATTATGAACATTTGTGCCAAATAATTTCAAATCGCTTAAACAAAAAATATATGGACTGCACACAAAATATATACCCTATAAAAGACCATGTTAAGCTTTGTCCCGTAAGTGTGGCATTGACCTTGGAGATTAGGGTCCGGGTGTTGTGCATGACACATCGTCATGACACATCGTCTTATTTTTGTCAATATTTTCTGCCAAATATTTTCAAAATCAATTGAAAGATAAGAAAGCTATGCACTGGAAACAAAATATATCCCTATAACAGACAATGTTAATCTTTGACCTCCAACAGTGACCTTGACCTAGGCGACTGGGTTTTGCGCATGACACGTCGTCTAATTATAACAAACATTTGTGACAAGTTATTTCAAATTTCCTACATAAATGACACAGTAATGAACCGGTCACGAAAATGTGACAGCGAACAGACGGACGAACGGATGGACGGACAAACGGACGGAGTCTTTTTTTATATCCCACTTTTCTTCGAAAAGGCGGGGGACAATAAACAAAAGATGATACTCAGGTGAAAAAAACAACAACAACCAATAGTGAGGGCTAGCACTCAATTAATGATAGAATAAATGATGAAACCACATTGTGTACTTCCAAAAATTATCTTTATTTTGTATGGCTAAACATTGAGCAGCAAGGGTTATTTAAGTTTATTGAAGTTTTATTTGTTCACAGGATTTGATCAGAATGGAGATGCATACACAGAAATGGATGCCACTTTTCTGGTGGGTGTGCCATCTACATACCAACTGTCACCCCCGCAGCAAGGGCCTGAAGATCTAATATGCCAGCCGAGTATCGAACTTACAAATACAACGGTAAAAAATAATGTTCTTTGCCTTAACTGCAACGTTTTTGGATTTTTGTGTTATTGTTATGATGCATTTAAGATGTGAGTAGAGGACAGTGGTGCAATTTGTTTTCGCTTCATGTACTCAGCAAGTAAATTGCATCTTTAACATAGATTTGGATTATACAATACATGTTTATAAATTCATTTTATATAATGTTAAATATCGCCAAGGTCAAAGTTCATCTAAACCTTAAGATAAAACATAATGTTATGGTACTTCTTTATCTCCAGTTTACATAAGGATGAGGTTATAATATTAGTTTTACAAGTTACTGACGGCATATACTGGACAATATAGCCTGAGTAACATAACCTTGACCTGATGCCACAGCATAGGGTTGTATTATATCAGCAATATTACAGTATTCTGTATATTCCTTCAGCAAATTGTGTAACAAAATTCATAAGAATGTAAATTGTTATTGTAATTATTTATTTAAAAAAGGCAGCAACTATAGCCTGTTTTCATTAAAGCGCGGTAAAAGACACATGCAAAGAAAAATACGTCAGACGTTCAACGGGTACTCGATCACAGATGCTAGATAAAAGTAACTAAAGTATAAAGTCATCTGTAAACTGTTGTTTTGAAGAAATTAATTTTGAATCGAATTATATGACATAAATAACAAAACAAAATTAAAATATATGCACATATAGTTAATCTTTAACGATGTACAAATCATTGTTATAGATATAGAGTGTACAAATAATAAAGGGCAAAATATTGTATTTTCTGTGATAGGTTATGAGCGAGCCACAACCAGGGACTGTCTTGAACAATGTTCAAAAACCACTTCGAAACCATACGGTAACCGCCTTGTTAGTCCTATGTTGCTTCCTTCCAACAGGTTTATTCGCAGTCTATTTTGCATACAAAGTAAGTGCAGTTTTTAATTCCTTAGTATAGATTACCTTTTATTTTAAGACATTTTACGTATTTTAACTAGTAATAAATAAAAAGACGCCGGTTTCTGAAACACATTGGTTGCTTTTCGTTTGTTTGTCTGTGTGTACACTAATTGTCACACATTTTTGCTCATATCTCGGCGGTCAATCCACTGAACCAACTTTCCTGAATAACTTAACCAGAAATAACCGATTTTACCGCCGCAGATGACAGACTTTAGTCCCAAATGATTTCTGAACTACGGCAAGAGACAAATAACTCTTAGATTCACTACCCTTGAACGATTGTCAAGGGGAAATAACGCATCACCAGAGGATTGAACCAGCAGTTCCTGGTTAATTGACCCGAAGTTTTTCCTAATGAGTTAAGCAGACTCATCCAGGACACATAAATGGTTGAAATTCTAGGCTACTTAGCAAAATAAAGAATGCGGCTTCTATTTGTGTAGTTTGTGTTACTATATTTTCACAATTTGTAAATCTGCCGATGCCCTTTGCCTCCTTCACGACATGCACATATCGAGGGGAAGGCAGAAGTAAATGCAATATTATACTCCGTCATCTTGGGAGGGTTTACGTCACATCGACACAGTATAGGTCATATCGCGACGTTCCAGCTTTACTGGTGGCGGAAGACCTCAGATGCTCCTCCATGCATTATTTCAGGCACGAACGGCCACCTGGATAGATCCACCGACGTTCCATAAGCTAGCTTGATAGCTTCCTCACATAAAAGTCCCTGTCGGAATTTGAACCCACAGCGGTGTGAAGTCAACGAGCTCCATCATCTGATATAGCATTACAATGTCAGGTTATCCATTGCAAGCCGCAATTGATTACGGGCGAGGTGACTCTTCGATTGTTAGTATTTCTTAGCGATTGTGTATATATTTCACAGCAAAACGAATTTTTCGGTCTTATAATATTTTATTTTGTTTTTTGTAGGCACGGAATCTCGAGCTCTCAGGCGACTATGACAATGCGAAGTTGATGTCAGACTGTACAAGAAAATTGATAATTGCTACAACAACTATTGGAATATTTCTCGCCATTCTTACCGCCGTCAATTACAATACCCAAATAGTGAATTATTACAAAAAAATAAAGCAACTATATACCTATAGATATATAGGATATAAATGTCAACGTCCACTTCATACTCGAAAAACTGACGTGATTCTAAATTGAAAAGAACATATTTCTGAAATCATGTGGTGTGATTCTCGTACTTGAATATCGTGAATACATGTATACCGTTAATATTTTTTTATTTCGTATCATTTTGTTGTTGAAAATATCTATGTATATACAAATATTATTTCAAATATAAAAGAGTTTATCCATAAATCTATATTCGATTGAAGTTTTATTTTATAAATGACAAATTGGCAATAATTTTTGACAAATTATATCATGCTATGAAGATTTTGACAGGTTTAAGTGGCCTGTACGACAAATAAACAGGAACATAAATTTTGGTCAGGACATTAAATTTTAAGCATGATTCATTTGATTGGAACCATTATTCAAATTACGAGAAAAAATAATTATGTGCAATTTTTCAAGTTTGATTTTCATAAGAGATAACTTTCACATTTAAAACCGAAGAATATAAATATCAACACCTATAATAAGGTGCACATACAAAGCTTAATTACATTTGGACTGTTAATTGCATTCACCATGTGCTGTGCCCGAATCATGATGACCGGTTAGAAAAACAAAATATCCTTATCAACATTAGGACTATAAAAACAAATTATATTTCATGCATTTCTTTGGTAAATCTCAAATAAATTTAATACAGAAACCCCCATTGCCACTGTAGGCCGATGATATTTTTTTAGCTTTTAAAATTAAAAACCAACATAGAGTGAGTACACATGTAAACAGAAACAGGAAGGGGTAATTTTTTGATAATGAAACGAATGTATTTATTTCAATAAGTCTGTTTCGGACAGTTATAATTTGAAATTATGTCGGACATCCATTCTTTCAAAACTGATGACAATTATAAACAAATCCGAATTAATATCAACAGGTTGTTTATTTTGAATTCGGTTTATAACCATAAAATAAAAAAAAAAATGTAATCTTTACTATAAAAATATATATATATTGAAAGTAGTTATTTAGGTGGACTTTTAACTTGATATATGGAATAAAAAAACTTGAAACTCTACTATCTGTTTACATGCGAGGATGAAACCAAAATACGGTATCCGATCTGTGTATTCTTACTATTGTGTTCATAGTTTTTATCCGAAGACTAATGGAAAGGTTTTGGTACAAAAATTTGAAATTAGAAGAAAACGGGGCCCGCTAGCAGTTTTAGCCCGAGCCAATCAAAAGGGATGGGTTTAACTGACGACCAACAAAAAATTACTAACTGAAATGTAACATAAATAAAAAAAAGGGTTTTACAAAAAGATAAAAAGGGTTTTCTTTTCAAAAAATTTTAAAAAAACATCAAAAGAATTTTTTAAAATATGTACAGAAAAGGGTTTAAAAATACATTAAAATTTTAATTTTAAAAAATGCTTTTTTTTATAAATTTAAAGCAAACTTTATGATAAACTTTCTAAAACCCCCTTTCTTAACAAAATTTTAAATTTTGGGTTAAAATTTTTTACAAATAATACTTTTTGAAACTTACAATATTTATAAATCTTCATTTGAGCATCAGATTTATTATATAAAACATATAAAAATGCGTTATATGATCTTTAAAATGATCTAATGTACTTGAATCACGTTAAAATGACTTTTTGTCTATGAATCATAAAAAATAGCATAAGGAACAGTAACAGTCTTACTATTACACTATTTACAAATGTAGTTACATGAAAAAATTACACCTGTAAAAATTGAAATGAGAAACGACAGTAAAACAAACCAAACAAAGTGAATATAACCTTTTTAGTGCAATCGAACAAAAACATTATTTATACATGCAAGTGTTAAATTATACGATTTAATTTGGAATTTACAACAATTATTTTATATAAATTGATGTTTGATTTCATAATTGCACATGGTTATATTAAGGAAGATATCTAGATATTTATATAAAAAAGGAAGTAAAGCTCAGAGAGCGTGGCCATTGTAATTGAAAGGATGGGTAATTTGTTGGAGAAAACAAGTTGCCTGTAAAATATTTAAATTTACAGGCTTTAATTACGATGAGATAAGCGTTTTTCTTTAAAGAATTCGTCTGGTACAACATTGTGACTGAAGGATTGCAAAACCCGACTATAAAACTTTTTTCTGAATGATTCTAATTGTTGTTACAACAAATATAATAAGAGAGCTTAGAATAGAATGCATAATATATTCCCAAAGTTGATTACTAATAAAATTGACGTTCTTTGGTTAAGGAAAAATCAAACATTTTGCTTTTTGTATCCAATTGGTAATTATAGTTATCGCTAATTTTTTAAAGCGCCGTCGTGAATTTTTTAAAGAAGTTTTAGATAAAAAAAGAACAAAGTCAACACGTATAATATTAACCTGGGGCCCAGCAACTTTTTAGCAAAAGAAGTATATTTTAGCAACTATGGTCGTACGTAGGTTAGAAACTGTCTATGTTAATCAGTTCAACATTATGCAGTTTTGATTTCAGATTAAGAAATCATTTTGCTCAAGCTAACGTGATACAGAATGTAGTATTAAACATTCCGTTAATTTTATCAGGAAAATCATTGCTGATATACAGACACTTGCAAACGAAAGATGTAAAGTTATGCATGTCTTTAAAAGTAAAATGAAAATATATGAAGCTAATACGTCAATAAACATCTGTGAACAATGCCATGCGATTGTTTTCTGTTAAACTTTGCCCACACGCAAGTATTGCATGCCCGTTTCCTTTTGGTATATATTGTACCTAAGTAACCCTTTTCCTGTAAAGAAGCTTCCAGTCTTTGGTTGCAAAAAAAGAAGGGTTGTAGTAACAGGAAGATGTCGATTCGAACTAAACTACATATGTTAAAAGCAATAATGTATACTGAGTAGTACCTAGTAAAAACACCTCACCCATTCTTGGTTGACAACGAACCGAATTCATTAAAGCCTCATTGAAGTATATACGACTAAACATATATGTGCCTTTAACAAAAAGTTCTTGTGACTAGTTCATTTAAAATTATTTGCAGTGGTATGCCCTTTAAATTGAGTTTATCAGTTACTGCCGTTGCTGAAAAAGTTTTCGGACAGTTTTATTAGCAGAAAAGGTATTTCTCAGGCATGGAAGCAAGGCTTTCTGAAAATAATTGAACCGGAACATAGTGTTAAAACTCAATCTACTTTCTGATAGTGCCTTTTTCTTTAAAGGTTTTTTAAGAAAAAGGGGAAAAAATTTATAACTTTAAAAACTTTGAAATTTGGCGGAACAAAGCAGAACCATAAAAAAATTTCCGTAACACAGTAAATTATAATAAAAATGACAGTCCAGTTTTGAGGGTGAAATTTGGGTGAATTAAATTAATAAAAGTTAGAAATATTTTTTAACAAATAAAAACAAAAACCAAGGGAAACATGATTTATTTTTTCTTTTCTTTTTAAAATTCACTTTCGCCGAGAGTTTTCAAAAAAACAAAAGTATGGTAAGGACTATTCCTTTCCCCCTTTTACTGTCCATTTTTAAATTAAAACCAAAACTATTTTTTTTTCTGTTTTCAAAAAATAAAATGAAAAAGGGTAAATTTTTTTTAAATAAAAATACAAGGTTTTTTTAAACTTATTTTAATTTTAATATAGACTGTGATATATTACATTAAAACTTGTCTAGTTTTCAAAGGCACTTATTTTCAATATCAGTTCAAAGGCTATCTTAATTGTTAAGTGCAACATTTGATTTTTTTTTTTTGTAGTACACCAAGAACCCCGTAATAAACAAGTGCACTTATAATTGTAATTTATTTTCCTCTTCCAGCGGGATAAAGTAAGGCCATATTGAAAATAAAAATCCCAAAATTCCAAAAGCACCGTCCCAACAATCGCACTGGCTATAACAAGCCGGTCTGGCAGTAGCAGACTTTTTCTTGCCTCGACAATTGCCACCAGCATACGCAAATAATTGTTTCCCTTGAAAATATAAAAATGTTAAATTTGATGAAGTGAACAAAAAATACATTAAATTGAAGATCAAAAAATGAAAAATCTCTTAAAAAAACCCGAAAAACCAGGGAAAAAAAAATTGTTTTTGCAAAAGGGGGCGGCCTTCGGAAATTTTTGGAAAATTTTACCCAAAGGGGTTATAGACGTTTCTAGAATGTGCAAAGTTTTCCGCCCAATTCAACCAATATTTAAGCACTTGCTTCAAATGAATTCACCATTTTACATAAATGGGTAAATTTTTGTGATGATCATACTCATACTTGCGGTTATCATGGTTTTTAATAAACTAGACACACAATGCAACACGTTAAAAGCGGCCATGGTCCCAAACAAAAATATTTGTATGGTGCCTTAAAAACGAGAAAACAATAGCCCTAAAAATAAGTAAGATTGCATTTTTGAAAATAGAGTTTATGAAACCTTCAGTGAATAAGTGTAAACATTACTCATATTTAAAAAAGCCTAAGAATATTACCTGGGGAGCTCATGTCGTGTTTAAATATACTGGAACCATCCATTTTAAAATAAAAAGGCCCAAGAGAAGAAACGCCAACAAATAATGTGTGCAAAAAACGAAGTTTAAAGATCGGAAATTCGTTTCATTTGTTATTGCTTAAAACATAAAAAGGAGCCCTCAGGGGGGGTTTTGGTTTTTATTATGGAAAAACTAAAAATGATTTTGTGGAAAGGGCTCTACTTGGGTTTTTTCGGTTTTTTGCTGACATTCTTTGGGCTACAGAAAAAAAAAAAAAAAAAAAAAAAAAAAAAAAAAAAAAAAAAAAAAAAAAAAAAAAAAAAAAAAAAATTTGAGCGAAGATTTTCCAAATTATTTTAAATATTTGCTCAATAAACTGCATGTTAGGTTCACTAAAAACAAAACAAACATTGACAAGACTTTCGTCCGTTTTTGTAAGTTTAACATGTTGGGACAATTGTAAGTAGAATTTTCGCGTTAGATAAACATTGTTGCCAATACAGTTAGGGAACCATTTTAAAGTCTCTATCGGATAAACCTTTAATTGCAAAGCATAACACCGAGCTTTGTTACTACGAGGCGAAAGGGAATATTGCGGAAATAAACCGTGAAGGGGTTAGCCAACTGAACTTTCAGAACAACGAATTCTGGGAGGCATTCTACATGTACTTGGAAACAAGTGTTTTAATGTCCAACATATTTATCTTAATGACTGTACAGGTCTTAGTTCTGTAAGAGAAAATATTTGTATTCCAGCACGTTTTAAAGATCTCAATTACAGATAATTCTCTCGCGCGAACATTTGTTTGTTTCAAGTAGACGATAACCAAATCAAATGAACGATTATGTATCCCTTTCAACCGGTCTTATTCGATGTTGATTAGAAGAAGGGGTTTCATTTTTGTTAAGTAAGATTGAGATCCTTTACACATTGTTATGTCACGCGTCCCAATCATTTCTGACTCATTCATGTTAAACATTACCTTTATCTTACTAGCCACTTATATTTCATAACAATATAATACTTCGCCTGCTATTACTGTTTTGTAAACTGAGTGTAATGACAATTTTGTATGAGTTTTGGCGTCCGTTGTCAGGTGGTTAAGGAATATTGCTTTTCCCTCATAGAAGGGGATCGAATTTCTTTCCATGACTTTGTTTTTCCTGCGGAAAAGTTACGAAACCCTCTTACAAATATTTTAAATAATACACAAGGTGATTGAACATACACAGTGCATTCTTTTTTATGTTTAGATATCAAACTTGCTTGACTTTGTGGGAAAAAGACATAAGTTTTGAACATAATTTGAATTTTATCATTCAATATTTAATCATTTTAAGAATACTTATGGAACATAAAATTTATCGTTTTTATTAATCATATTTAAAAACACATTTTTCAAGGAAATTTTAGGTTGCTTTAAGGTACTGCTTTTTGATAATAAACCTAAAACATCACGCATTATTTTTTCATTTTTTATTATGTTTACTAAACATGTTTTAGGAATAACATCAGCATAAATGACCTTAGACACTATGTATATACTTGTTGACTCAAATACTTGCATAAGGTTATTTGGGCTAATCGCAACTAGCACATTCAGTGCTTTTGATTCTTCTGAGTTGACAGGGAAAAAAAACCTACTAACCTAGGGCAGCAAGAAACGTGTACTGCCAAAACACATTTTTTGCTGACCCCTTAAAAAGCCTCTAGTTAATCTTAATTCTACTCAGAACAAGAAAAAACACTTGTAAGATCTTAGAAACATGATAACTAAGTTGATTCTGTCAGGCACTATGTCTTACTAAATATATTAAGAAACTTCCTATTTTACATACCTTGTTTGCATAGATATAAAGCAAATATTCCAATAGGCCAAGAAACAACAAACAGATAGCTAAAGTAGTGCCATCATATTTAATCGGGGGGCCTTTTCCTTGGTAAATCGCATCACTAGTCTGAGGCTGATGAACAGACTGAAAAATGTTAATCAAATAAAAAAAGCACACAAAAAAACAACAACGAAAAAGAAACAACATAACTTGCATATTATAACCATTACATTTTCGGGGTTCTAATAATAATATTTGATTTTTTTATTTACAACCATGCACTTTTTTCTCAGACGCAGACGAGGTCACGAACTGCAAAAGTTTCCAAAAGCAAAACAATTAAGAATTTTTATTTTGTAGACGGGAATAACTCACTGAAAAAAAACCCCACATTATTCTGCTATTAAAAACGCGGTGCAATATCAACTTTTTTACCATATTTGTTGCATTTGTGTTGGGTCGATAGGTTGCTTGCATCGGATATGGCTGCCAGACATAACCTTGTTGCGGCGGAAACAGTTGTGGTGTGTAATACCCGTAGGAATGCCTATTTGGGTAACGGTCTCTAGATTGGTCTAATCCTAAAATGAAAAATTAAAATTAATTTATCAAATTAATTAATTTATTGAATTAATCAAAGTTTAATGTACGCAAAATATGAACATGAATAAATGTTTAACACTTCCTTGTGTGGTTGTGTTATGTGTTGTTTGTGTGTGCCGCGGTGCCGTGTACGTGCTTTTGATGTTGCATGTGGCGCATTGTTGTTGCGCGCCATGTGTGCTTTGTTTTGTTTTATTTTAGATACACAGTATATGGAAAATTTTGCCTTTTCTTGATGAGTATACCTAGGGGTTTCCCTCCATAACTATATTTCAGGGAACGAGCTCGAGAGTCCATTGTATGTAATATCGTTTAATTTACACTGGGTTCCGCTGAAAAGGAAGTCACGTGACCTAAGTTTTGCACAGTACATTTTAATCTGGCTAAGAATTTTTCAGCAGTCAGATTAAATATGAATTCTGACAGATAAAATGATATGACAAAATAGACAACACAAAAGTGAAGTTATTATTTAAACATTTTAAAAATTTAAAGAAATTAACGTAAAAGTAAATTTTCACACATTAGAGTCATTGCTTTCAAGTTCAACTGAAGCTAAAATAAAACAATTTTGTTTTACACTTTTAAAAGAGATTATAGTGTAATATTAAGACAAATTTTGTCAATACCCACTACATTAAAGCATAAAGTTACTATTAAAATTGGAAGTCCTGTTAAAGTTAAAAATATAAACAACTTTATATGATTATGTTTAAATAGAACCATTTTAATTTTGAAAAGAATCAGGTGATCAACACCTACAACGTTATTAACATAAATAAAATTTGTTCTGATTTTTTTTTTCCTAATAATATTTTCTAATACTCCATAGTAAACAGGACTGTAATTTATATTATCATTGTTGCCTGGTCGACAAATCTAAGGGGAAATATGTTATATAAAACATTAAAAACTATGTCATTATTAAAGTGATGAAGACGCAGCATTATATAAGGAAGGGGCTAGAGTGCATGCCAGTACTAAAGTGAAATGCAGTAGTGCTCATTTTATTTTAACAGAAACATTTCTTAGCTTTAACCCAAGTCTAAGTCTGAAAAAGTTTAACATTTTGGTTTTAAATAATTATTGTTCTTTCTTTTTATCATTCCTTGAACTACATGTAATGTATATGTAGTACATGTAAATATTTTAAAATTTTGTTTTAAAATAATGTACATATATTACTTACATTCATGAAATTGGAAACTTGGATTAATAAGTCAATAAATATTTGGCCTTCAGATTCAAAAGTTCACTATTAACCCCTACCAAAAGGATTAAATTGTTGACCAATTTTGTTTTATTCAAGTATTTCTATGAGAAAATTTTCTAAAAAGGTGTTTTTCTTCTTAAATAAACAACACTTGCAGGGTAATGCTAGATACCCTTGTCAAAAAGTTCCAAGTGTATTCTTTTTATATGTCATTCGATTAGATGGCCATTGCCATGAACGCTTTCTTTTTTTTAATTTAATTTCAATCCAAATTATTTAAAAGACATCAATAATAATAATAATAATAAAAATTTAATTTAATTTAATAAAAAAAACCAATCATTCCACCATTGATCTGCCATAGTAATGCCAAGAATAAGTTATCAGTACATGTTGTGTACAAAATTCTACACCTTTGGGCTTATTGTGATTTCTCCAAAACAACATGCAACCCATAGTAAGTGACTTTTTTCCAACCCAAACAGCGGTTTTTTATTTTGCAATCAAGGATAACTATTTTCATTATGACAGGGGTTGTCATTATATATACTATTCTCAAATGTCCAGTCCGGAGAGTTCGAATTTGGTATTTCACTTGTACACTTGTATATAAATACACGCGTTTTAGAGTTACATTAAGAGCTCTCATTAATCATTTTGACATAAGCTCAGTCTGCATGTATCTTGTACTATAATATTCATAAATCAAAGTCATGTTCCATAGTTCACATTATGAAATAAAAACCTTAATATATGTTATATACATGTCTTGACTTGTCATTTCTATTAATATGATGTGTAAAGAGTAAAATACGACAAACTTTTGACGTGACGTCATTTGCGCTATATAGAAATATAGCGTAAAGCGCGCTAATGTTAGCGTTTACACTATGGGCGCGTCAATTGAAAAATTACTAATTTTAACAGTTCACTGTTCTATTTTAAATTATATTTTGATAAATAGAATATTATATTTCGTGTAGATTCAATACTTACATTTATAAACTCGTTGAATAAAACGATATTACTGCTCGCCAGAGGCTCGCATAATATGATTTTATTCAACTCGTTCAATAAATTTAGTATTAAAACTACACTTCATTCAATATCCATTATGTATGTCATGGCGACGAAAGAATCCCATCGTCGATAAGGAGTTCAGCTTATATTTCAACCTTAGACTCAGCTGCTGATGTCTTATCTAGGGTCTACAAAGTAGGGAGGGGCGACGGGGAAATGGCTAGATGTTTGAGCCCCTAGCACAGAGAAAAGCAAATTTTGAAAGGTTATTTCTTTAGTTTGGCAAAACAGTCTTTTTGAAAAAATTTTCCTTTTTTAAATTTAATTTTTTGGGTTACTGCCAGTTTAAAAAATCCCACAATTTTGGGCTAATACTCCTTTTTAAAAATCCCATGGACCTTCAAACCCCAACCCCCTTTTGCCCCCCAAAATTTAAATTTTTAAAGGGGCAGCCTAGTAACATTTTCCGTTGTCTGCCCTCGAACGAAAGCTTCTTTTTGTTTTCCCTTAAGGGGCCAAGGGGGACCCTTCAAAAAAGCATATAATTTTTTCCCTTTTTAAATTTAGGGGAAAAAACCGAAAAATTGCCCATTAAATAGTCTGTATTAGATAAAAGGAAGTTATTACACGTGCCATGCATGATAATGAGTGTAGTTGTTGATTTAAATGATCATATAACATTAAAGTATGAGGGTTCTTCATTTTATGGGTTATTCGAATATTTTGATAAAATATCGGGCGTTTTGATGATTATTAATGCTAGTTCATTTTTTTCCCCTGTGCCCTTTACAAAAAACAAAAAAAAAACGATTTTTAAAAAGGTTTTTTAGCATTTTTGTCCAAAAAACTTAATCCGGTTTTAGGGAAAACTTTTTTTTTTAAATTTGAAAGAAGGGCCCCTCCCCGTGAGTTAAAATTTATTTAAGCCCTTGGAACGAGTTTCCCCGGAAAAAACCCCTTATTACCCCAATTTTTCCCAAAAATTGATTTTTTCCCAATCCAAATAGCGAAACCCCGCCTTTCAAAGAATTTTTAAAAGATAAATTAAAAAAGGGGAAAAAAAAAAAAATTAATTTCAAACATTTAAACCTATTAAAAATTTCCCACTAAATTTTTTTATTTATTCAGAACTTTTAGAAGTTGCATCTAAAAATACAACTTCTTTTTATTAATTTCATATACATTTTCTTTGTGTATCTTGACTTTTTAATTGACGAAAATTGTTTATAAAACTGGGAAAACTCACGTACATCATTTAGGCTGCCTGGAACGGGAATCGCAATCCAGACCTCTCACATCCTAAATGTTTCACCAAAGCTGCCTTCTATGCACACTTCTTAAATTCTATTGTCTTTTTGATAAATGTTACTGTGGTTTTACGGTTTTGATAGATGCGTTGTTTTGAAAAATGGGGCTGTGAGTTTTGATATATGATGGTGTCAGTTCGGTATATGGTGCTGGCATTTTATAGTAATTGAGTTATAGGCTTTCAAATAGAGTTATACCAAATGAAATTGTCAACCCAGGACATATAAGCTCATATTTAAATTATATGGTTATCTTTTAAATCACAGCACCATTTATCAAAACCTTACCACCACTTATCAAAAATCACAACACCGCTTCAAAACTACATATCTATTTATTAAAATTACATCACCAGTTAGGACGTGTGTATTAGTTTGTTTGGTTTTACGGCGCGCACCAACACAGTATAGGTCATACGGCGCCGAAGCAAGAAAGTGGTGTTTGGCTAACCTCGGTATTTACAAACTTCAAAGCAACACTAGGGGCTTAAACTGTCTCACCTGATGAAGCTTATAGGTGCAAAGACTCCAGTTATAACAATCAATTTATCGCCTCTTACTATCACACAGGGTAAAGTGGGACTGCTATTGTTATGCCTCAACCATTAACGGGCGACACAGGCAAAATGTTCATTTCTTCGTTTTGAATTTTTCATTCATTATTCTGTTAATACACTAAGCAGTATCAGGAAAAAATCATTTTATAAAGAATGAAATGGTTGTTTCCTAACTTGACCCACTTGGGTCAGGTTAGAGCGTTAAGACTGAACAATAGTTGCCACAGTGAACTCTGGAAACGTTGAAGAACATGTCAAATGAATTCCTTAGACTTGTTTCAATCATACAATATCAATAGTATCTGTTATTGTAACTTCCAGGGTGTGTGCAAGTCACATGTCTTGTTTTAAAACTACTTGGTGATTCTGTCGGCCTCTAAATTTTGTTCAACAAATATGGATATATTTAAGCTTCAAACACAAAATATACAGCATTTATACAGATAGTCATGCTGGTACTTTACAAAATGTAGCGTGGTTTGAATACATAAGATCATTTCTATATTTTTGCCATCAATTTGCCTGAGTATCCCTTTAAAGGCAACCACTCGGCCACAATGGATAAAAGAAGTGTGCAAAGAATGTAACTACATGTATACCGTTCCATAGAGCTTCACAAATAAATTTATGTAACTTGCAAATATAAATAATATTAATCCTTTCAATAAATGCAATCCTATACCTGCAATCATTTTATAAATACGTGAAATATAATATAGTTGTGATGTTATTTTCGGCTATACACTTATAAAGAAAAAAGACGCACAATACGCCAAACACATTTTTGTAATTCATTTCAATGCTTTTATAATTATATGCGATAAAAATAATTTTAACATTGCCATCATAGCATAAAAAGATTAATTAAACATATCTAAGAAAACATTATGAGTCTCGCCAGGCATTTCCAATGTAAAGATTTCTTGAATTATTTTGAACACAGTTTCAAAACAAATTCTCGTAAGACCGTGAAAGAAAAAAGACCCTTTATAAACTTAATTAAAATCCAGTAAATATAAAATACCTGCACTATCCGACATTTTGTTAAACGATATCTGTTTTGATCAACTGAAATATTTTCACGTCCTAAATATGTATTTGTCAATGTTAAATTCTATTTTTGGAAGAAGGAAGTCTCCTACAAGTTTCACTGCATTTAATATGTCAAACGCATCAACATTATTTTTAAAGCGAGTTTCTCAGACCAGTTTCTGAAATTCTCTAAAGTTATTCATTAAATACAAACCCCGCGCATCGGTTACGCTATGGTCAGTAACCACTGACTTCACACAAATCACGTGATGATGGTCTTATCACATGATTGTGTAAAGATGGCGGATACGCCGATGAAATCGTTGAAAAATTGTTTTATCTGTGATAAACAGCGACATTATAACTTGCGCTCTGGTGTCAAATCTGTCGATATGATTGAAAAAAAAAGTCATTTTTGTTGAGTGTTGAATCGATATTAATTATTACTTGAATTATTTCCTCCTAGAGAGGGGCCATTGTTTTGGAAATTAACGGTGCGACGAAAATGCTGTTATGGCAGAGATCTAATCATGTAGAGGGAGATCACTGCGTGAGAGATTGTCATTGCCATTTATAGCGTAGTTCTCAACCCTTGTATGGCTGCATTTGTGCAATCAATTTGCCTTTCTTTGATTTTTAAACAGTTTTTTTATATTAAGAAATTTCAAATTAAAACCTTATAATTAATGTCTGCTTGTATAAATATAAGTACTGCAACGTCCTGCAAAGTTAAATTGAATTCTAGCCAGTGGTGGCTTCAAAGTTGTCTACGTAACATGTATAAACGGACGGACAAATTGACAAACGGATTTCTCTACCATAAGGTACTTATGTTGATACATTACTGTGCTACATTATTTTCCTAACCACGTTAAAGAAAACAAGGGGGCCAAGATGGCTCTAGATCGCTCACCTGACCCATCGAACTCATCCGAGCAATTACCTAAACAAGCATCCTGCCAAAGTTTTATGACAGTTAAGTCAAAAATGTTACCACTAGAGTGCTAAAAAGTTTTTTTTTATATCTGAGTAGTGTGACCTAGTTTTTGACACCAGGTGACCCATATTCGAACTTGACTTAGAAATTATCAAAACAAACTTTCAGACCAATATCCACGATATTTGAATTAAAACAGTAGCCATTAGAGTGTCTAGTTTTAGCTCCTGTGGCATAATTTTAATTCGAGATGACCCATGTCCAAACTCACCTGACCAATTATGAGGACAAGCATGCAAACAAAGTTTGATGATGATTGAGGCAAACATGTGTCCGCTAGAGTGTGGATGGACGACGGACGACAAACGACGGACGACGGACATTTAGCGATCCTTAAAAAGCTTACACTGAGAAGGCTCAAGTGAACTAAAAAAAAAGAACCAATCTCTACGATTATGAGATAAAAACCCAAATTTCGAAAACAAAAATGTCCTTAAGACCTGTTTTCTCGCGTTGTTCCTCAAATGTTATTAGATTTCCAAAATAATAAAATGTCACTAAAATAGGCATGTCTCATATTCAGTCTTCGATACTAGATCGATACCACAGGAGCTAGTTACATAATCAAATAGTTTACATAATGGGCCTATATATAAATATTTGATTATGTGACTAGCACCTGTGATCGATACTAGCTTAGAGATTGCAATATTCGGAATGAAAATACCCCGGTAGTTCTGGTATATACGTATTCTGATAACAGTCTGATAATTTGGGATATAATAATAATTTTTCTGTCTGAGCGTAATACCTGCGCCGCTATGTTTTAAATACTCGATATATTAACAAATTTAATAGTGTTATTCCTATGGTTTTTTTGTTGTTGTTTTTTTTTTGCTGTATATAACAGTTAAGTAGAGAAAAACTGATTTACTTTTGAAATAAGAGACAGTAATTTTGTTTTGAAAGAACGACATAAATATACTGTAATTTGTTTGCGTTGTACAATATGTACAATATGGACCATTTCCCTTAACTGGATTATATTGATTTAACAAGTGGACCATCCACCCATTAACTCCCACCCACCCCCTACCCCAAAACAACAACAACAAACGAGGAAGTATTTTTTCACAATCTGGATTATCCAAACATTTCCCCAATTTTCCTTTATTAAATGTTTTTAAAACTAAATTTTCTTAAAATTTACATATTTATTTTTTAAAAGTTTTTTATATTTTAAAATTACTTATTTATAGCAAAAATACATAATAAACCTCATTGTTAGGTATATAAAACCCATTAAACAATATACTCATATTTTGTTATTCCGTTTGCTTCCACGATATAACAAATTAAAATGAAATTATTATCACTTTTTATTTCCTACACTCAACCCAAACAGATACTTAACACTTTATAATAACCTGTCGTTTTTATAGATATTACATCATTTTTAACATAATTATTTGCGGCCTTAAAAAGATTTTAAACGTAGTAAATATAAACCGAAAAGTATGGAAGCCCTGTAGGTACATTTTAAAAAAATATTTAAAAATAAAACTTATTTAAAATTTAATTCTGAGTATTTAAAATTTAATTTTTATATAAAATTATTTAAAATTTAATTTTTAATATTTAAAACTTAAATCCTACCATTGAAATAGGACGCGGGAAAACATTCCGTCGACATGTTGACGCCATGAGTAGCGGCAGCGAGAATACGAGTAGCGAAATAAGTAAAGTAAGTTGGTATTTATATAAAAGAAAAACTGTTTTAAATCGCACAAGGACACGCATACAAACCTATTTTTCTTGCTCAGGACAGGCTTGGGCGGGTTCATTTTTTTTAAAAGATGATTCATTCCAGATTGTAGGGATCCGACCATAAAATGGAGCCTTTGGAACCGGACCAATTTAATTGCGAGTTTTTAAATTCCAGGGTCTCGACAACTCGCTCCCGCTGGGTTCGTCCTTACATAGTGTTGCCACATACTAATATATATGTATACTGTATAGGTACGTGTGTTGAGTTCAAATTGAATAAAGTAAGTTTGACTTAAACTTATTCTTACTCAATTTAGTATACATGCTTTTAAACAATTAATTTTATGTCTTTCGTTTTATAAAACGTAATTACTTTACAAACGAAATCCCATACTTTAGCTCAGTAGGAAGAACGTTCGGTATATAGGTCGCAAGTTCGCTAGTTCGATCCCCGGGCGAAGCATGTTTTACTGTTGAAAAATGGCGTTAAACCAAAAACAAACATATACAGTAGCTATGTGAGATAATAGAAAAAGATGTATAGAACTAGTCTGTGCAATATCCATTATCCGTATCAATGATAACTTCATGCTAAGGTCAGGGCCTCAAGTCCATGATAAATGAGCGGGCGAGTTTTAGAAACACAACTTGGCCTGTTTTATTTCAGTTTATTTAATCATATATTTGAAGGAAAAAAATCTTGAGGGCGATTATAGTATAAAAGTAAACCGACAAATTGACTCTTATTCTTAGTAGAGGTTTTGCACGTAACACTTATAAGTTAAAATACTATTATTAAACACATTTAAGTATGTAAGTATACCTCTGTGACAGAAAATGAGAAAAGGGCATATAAAGTGACATTTATGGTTTAAAGCTGAATTAGACCTCTCAACCCACGCAAAAACAGAATTAAATCTTGGCATTGTGCAAATAGATAGAGATAAGCTTGAACTATAAATCATGTCTTTTTGCAATATTAAAAGTACTCAAATTTTATGATCATATAGATTTTAAAAGTAAATAGGATGTCTACGTATAGATTTGCAATCAGAGAAATATCACTTCCTGATACAATATGTAAGGTAGGTAACTTAGTTTATCGTTTTGATTAATTCTAAAATAGAATAAGCAATATCATATTTAGGCAAATAGTGTCTTAGATAATAAAAGTCATAATAACTTAACATTTTTTCAAAACAGTTTTTTTTACTTTCCATATTTGTTACATGTAAGCTATCGATAATAACCTACATGATCCACAGGAATTTCTATAATGGTGCATTAATTAATCAGTAGCGTTCACATAAACTACAGGGCAGTCACTTTTACATTTTAGGCAGTTTTAGTATTTTATCTTTATCATTTGTCACTATCGATTTTTGATCAACCCCGTCATATCTTTTGAAATATAGGAAGTCCTAATATACATTTTTCATTCTGCCTATTTGTTTATCATTTTTAAAAATTAAACTAGTGCAGCTCAACCGGAGAACAAAAATATGAACATTATGTCACTTTTATAAGAAATTATTAAAAAGGGCTAAAATGGACGACACTGAGGTTGAATTTAAGTACGTTTTTTTTTTAATGAAGGTCTGAACCAATAACTTGAAAATGTTTTCTAAGATATAATGCAATTTAAATAAGTCCTAATATACATTTTTCATTCTGCCTATTTGTTTATCATTCTTAAAAATTAAAAATATATTCTAACTCTGGAACCATTGAAACAGTGGATAGTGTGACGGGAAATATTAAATCAACTAGAGTGAATTCGTGTCGATACTGCAATTTTTCGCGTTTTGGAACAACTGTGACTATTATTAGCGCCCGAAACCCTACCAATAGGAACTTTGCAAGAACCGGCACAATGGACAATGACTCATTTGTAATTCTGAACTATATCATCCGACTGTTCGATACATGTATATAAATTACGCATGATTGTATATAGGGATAGTTTTAAAGCTTTTTTCTTTCAATATTTGTCCTTTCTTTTAATCAAAATACAATGGGAAAAACAACAAGGAAAAGTACCTTAAGGTACAAGGTTGGAAAATTTACAAACTTATCATATACAAACCACTCTTGCGATTTCAAGCGGTTCAATATATCATGGTTACTGCTTATTGTTAAAACCTTGACATAAAAAATGTATAGTGGATGATGTCTGCCATGTCGTTTCTTCGTTCTGTCGTTATTTGAGGGCGACACGCGAAAGAACAAAATATCAATTGAAATAGTAATTCACGTTTTAGTTGCACTGTTATTATCGTTTTTTATTTCACGTTTTCCAGTGTTTTATTGTAATATATCAGATGATTATATTCTGATAAACCACTAGTGAAATTTATAAAATATAATTTTCACTGTAGCCGGACTATATCTAAATGCGGATAAATAGAAAATCATAACGAAATGGAATAACAGGCAGAAATAAATGCTGTCATGCGTAAA